AAACACCCAACTGTGACAAAAGGGTTGGATGCACTAAACAGAATCCCAGGTTGGAGCAGGATTTCTTTTTGTGTCTGAGTCAGCATCTCTGGGGAGAGGGATGAGATGGGAGAGCTCTGTCCAGAGCCTGAGGTGGCACATTGCACCTGGGAATGTTTTCCTAAATCCAAGAGCAAGAAATTCCATTTACACCTTATTTTTCACTGCTGTAAAAAAACCAACAAGGAGCCAGCCCAGTCAGCTGGGGGGCAGAAATGCCTAAATGCCCAGCTTGGAAGGGGGAAATACAGAACTTTTGGGTCCTGGAGTGGGAAATTCTGAGATCTCGAGTGCTGGAGTGGGAAATACAGAGATTTTCATTGCTGGAGTGGGAAATACTGAAGTGCTGGAGTGGGAGATTCCAGGATCTCAAGCTCTGGAGTGAGAAATACAGGGATTTTGAGTCCTGGAATGGGAAATATAGGGATCTCGAGTTCTGGAGTCATGGATATCCCACTCCTGCTGTGCTCAGAGCTCTTCTGGAAACAGCTGGAACAACATTTTTTGATTTGTTAAGCTGCATAAATAATTGCAAAAATAACAGGCAAATCCCAAAGTATCTGCCAACACTCCCAAGCTTCCCATTTTTAAAAGGTTGTTTGGTTTCTTTTTTTTTAAACATCATTGTGACTTTTCTCCTTCTCAGCCTCAGTGGGCTCTTTTCTTTCTCTGCCTGATGTTCTGATACCATAAATCCCAGCAAAGCATTCCCAGATCCATCCAGGGCTTTGGAACATGAAAATCCACCCTCTGGCTAGGAAAATCCATGAGGTGGAGGTGCCTGGAAGCTGCAGGAACGCAGCAGGGAAGGATTGTTCCTTTTTACCCTGCTCAGTGCTCTCCCCTGTCAGGGACGGGCTGGATGTGTTGGGATTTGGGGAACAGAGCTCCTGCCTGGCTGGAAGAGTGGGAAGAAAAGGGAAATCCCAAATCTGTTGGATCAGGAGAGGAAAACCCAAATATTCTCAATGACAGCGTGGCTGCTTTAGGGGCTCTGTCGTGCTCCCTGCCGTATGGGGCTCCTCAGGAGGAGGGTGGAGTTGAATCCTCAGGATCCTGGACAGGATTCCCTGGTTTTTTGACCTTTGAAGAAGCAGTTTGCTCTCTCTGAACCCGATTCCTGCACAGAAGGAGTTTGGGAATTGCTGCTCCCTCCCAGGAATCCTTAAGGCTGGAAAAGACCTCCAAGATGGAGCGCAGCCGAGTCCTTTGACTCCTCTGTTTGCCTTGGGGGTTTTCCAGGTTTCCCACCTGGATGACATTCCCTGGGATGGCCCAGCAGCAAGAACAGGGATGTTCAATGGTGAGGAAGAGCTGGAACCTGGGAATGCTGATCCTGGGAAGCACCAAACAGATGTTCAACATCTGGAATGGCCCAGGACTCAAGCGGGCTGAGCTGTGGAGCATCTTCCTTACAAAACACAAAACACAGCACCTGGAGCAGCACCCCTGGTGTAAACTCGTTCCAAAGACCTGCTGTGGCCTCCAGCTGGTCCAAATCCAAGGAAAAGGGACAAGAGTGTCCCTTTTGAAAACCATGTGTGGGCTTTAGCACATTGCTGGTGCCAGGTCTAGAAGGAAAATGTCCCATTTCTGCCACTTTAATGTGCAGCAGAGCTGATCCTCAGCTATCTCAGGGTCTCAAACCTACCCAGGACTTCCTACAGGATGGAAAAATCCCACAGTCACAGATGGAAAACTCCCTCTCCCACTTTCCCAGCTGCCAGTGCAAATTTCCTCCTGTTTCCCATTTTCCCCAGGTGCTTTTCCAGCACAGTTTGAAGTGTTGGCTCCCTGGCCTTGGGGTTAATCCCTTTAAAAGGCTTTTATTAAAAACACTTGGAGATCTTCAGCACCCAGAGCTGTTTCCAAGCGGATTTAAGGCTTTGATTACTTTTTTTCCTGGTGAAGAAAATGAGGCAGGGTAGGGGAAGCAGGGGAACAAAGTTCCCTCTGACAGCCCTGGGTAAACACAATTTCACCATCAAGGCAAAAGCTGGAAACATTTCCTAAATTGCACCAGGGAAAAGCGAGTTGCAGGGTTTGGAAAGCAGCCTGGGGAGGCCTGGAATGCCCTGAGGCTCCAATACCTTCCTGACAGCACGTAGTCAAAAACTGCAAGATTTTAGGAGAAGCTGCCAAGCTCAGGAGAAACTTCGTGCTGCAAATGGATTTCTCAGGCTCCACTGGAGAGGTTTCAAATCCCCTCTTACATCAGACCCTTGGAACACCTGAAATTGCCTCAGATGTGACAAATTTGGGTATCACAGGGGTTATTTTTAATTCTTGAGGGCTAAAGAGCTTTCAAAACTGGAGCCCAGCCTATGAACCCTATGTGAGTAGCACTGTTGGATAAATCCTGTTCTCCGGGGGCTGAGGGATGTTCCAGCTCAGCTTTTGGAGAACTGAATTCCTGCAGCTGAGGGGGAGAGGGGCAATCAGTGATTTGCAAAACTGGGTGGTAAAAGTAGACAAATAAAAGACAGAAAGGTGGGGGGTGAATAAGGAAAAGGAGGGGGGAAGCCTTAAGCTGTCCAAGGTGGTGTGGGCAGAGGAGCAGAGCTGAGGATGAGGAGGAGATGCCAGCCCCATTCCTTGCCCCTTGCCCCACTCCCTGACCTATTTCCTGCCCCAGCAGCCTCTTTCTTTGCCCTTCCCTGGCTCTGTTTGTTGTGTCAGCACCAGTGAAAGCATCTGGAGAATGGAGGAGCCATGGAATCTGCAGGACTCGGCAGGTCCTGCTCTGATCTCGCTGCGAGCCCTGACCAGAGGCCCGTGGCCCTTTAAAGCTCCGGGCAATTTTTCTTTTCCGAGTGGCTGAATCCGAGGATTCCTCAGTTCTGATGTAACCCCGAGCTGGACCACGTGGGTTTGCACATATTTGACAAGCAAAGGGCTCCTGGAAGGGAATTTGTCCATTTTTCAGAAGCTCTTTTGTAACCACTTGCCACAGAGGACCTTTTCCAGCCAGGATTCGCCTCTGGGGCCCTGCAGGGCTGCTTTGTGCCCTCAGGATCTTTTCCAGCCAGAATTTGTCCCCTTCAGCCAGGATTTGCCCCTGAGGACTGGCAGGGCTGGTTTGTACCCTCAGGAATCTTTTCCAGCCAGGATTTGCCCCTGAGGCCCTGCAGGGCTGCTTTGTGCCCTCAGGATCTTTTCCAGCCAGAATTTGTCCCCTTCAGCCAGGATTTTCCCCTGGGGCTCTGCAGGGCTGCTTTGTGCCCTCACAGGTATTTTCCAGCCAGGATTTTCCCCTGAGGCCCTTCAGGTCTGGTTTGTGCCTTCAGGGAATTTTTCCAGCCAGGATTTGCCCCCTCCAACAAGTATTTGCCCCTGCAGGGCTGGTTTTTGCCCTCAGGGATCTTTTCCAGCCAGGATTTGCCCCTGAGGCTCTGCAGGTCTGATTTTTGCCCTCAGGGATCTTTTCCAGCCTGAATTTTCCCTTGGGGCCCTGCAGGGATGCTTTGTGCCCTCACAGATGTTTTCCAGCCAGGATTTGCCCCTGAAGCCCTGCAAAGCTTTTTTTGCCCTCAGGGATCTTTTTCAGCCTGAATTTGCCCCTCGAGCCCTGCAGGGCTGGTTTGTGTCCTCACAGGTATTTTCTAGCCAGGATTTGCCTCTGTGGCTCTGCAGATCTGTTTTTTGCCCTCAGGGACCTTTTCCAGCCAGGATTTGCCCCCTCCAGCAAGGATTTGCCCCTGCAGGGCTGGTTTGTGCCCTTAGGGATCTTTTCCAGCCTGGCTTCACCTCTGGGGTTCTGCAGGTCTCGTTTTTGCCATCGGGGATCTTTTTCAGACTGGATTTGCCCCTGGATTCCTGCAGGGCTGGTTTTTGCCCTCACAAGTATTTTCCAGCCAGGATTTACCCCTGAGGCCCTACAGGTCTGGTTTTTGCCCTCAGGGATCTTTCCCAGCCTGGATTTGCCCCTGCAGGTCTGGTTTTTGCCCTCAGGGATCTTTCCCAGCCTGGATTTGCCCCTGCAGGTCTGGTTTTTGCCCTCAGGGATCTTTCCCAGCCAGGATTTGCCCCCTCCCACCAAGATTTGCCCCCAGTGTCTTTCAGGACTGCTCTGTGTCCTCACGTAGGTGCCATATGTGAAATCCATTTGCCTTCCATGACTCACTTGCTGTCCCAGGCTGTGGAGGAGGAGCCAGAGAAACGCTGCTGTCAGCACGTTGGAATCCCAGATTCCACATGAAATCATGGCTTTGGATGAAAACCCCAAAGTCCTTCCCTGCCAGCTGCCAGCTCCCTGTACCCAGAATGATTCTGTGAGTAAGGCTGGCCCTAACAAAGCTGAGCTTGGTTAATTTCCACAGGAACAGGGGACAAATTAAGGTGAAACAGCACTTGGAATTGAAGTGACAAAGCAGATTTGTTATAGGGCTACTTACAAAACAAATTAGAGGGGTTTTTTTTAATGAGAAAAAGAGTCTTCTTCTAGAGGATGGATTTTCACAAGGTGGAAAGGTTTGATTCATAAAATCCCAGAAAGGTTTGGGTTGGAAGGGAGCTTAAAAATCAGCTCGTTCCAGCCCCTGCAATTGGCAGGGACACCTTCCACTATCCCAGGTTGGTCCAACCTGGCCTTGGACACTTCCAGGGATGGGGCAGCCTCAGCTTCTCTGGGAATTCCATCCCAGCCCCTCACAGAGAAGCATTTATTCCAAATATCCCATCTAACCCTGCCCTCTGGAAGTCTGAATCTCTGTTTTTGTGTCACTGCTCTGCCTCCCTGCCCTGTCCCTTCCTCAACACCTCTTCCTTTCTGCCATGCCTGACCACAGCAGGTCTGTGACCCCACCTGAAATTTCCAAAATCCATTTCCCTCCAATCCAGCATCATTCCTGTTTATTTCCCACCCACAGAACTTGACCACCACTGGGCTGTGATCCCACCTGGAAGCTCACAGCCCATTTCCCTCCAATCCAGCATCATTCCCGTTTATTTCCCACCCACAGAACATGAACATCCAGGTGGAGGACATCCGGATCCGCGCCATCCTGGCCACCTACCGCAAGCGGGTCCCTGTCACCGAGGGCTACGTGGAGGTGAAGGACGAGGGCACCTGGAAACAGATCTGTGACAAGCACTGGACCATGAAGAATTCCCGGGTGGTCTGCGGGATGTTCGGCTTCCCGAGCGAGAGGAAATACAACACCAACGTCTACAAGTAAGGGCAGGGCTTGGTGGGAGCCACAAACATTCCTTGGAACACTCGGGGCCTTGTTCCCAAGGCAGATTGGCAGGTGGCACCAGGGACCCTGGGGGAGGAAAAGCTCTGACTGCTCCTTCCTCCAGATGGGATTCTTCATTTGTGTGAATGTTTGGAATGTCCAGCGTTTCCTGGTGCAGGCAGGGCAGGCCTTTGATCCTCATCCATGGGATGCAGACCTTGATGAGTATCGGTGTTTGACAGGGCCTGGAATGGGAGATGGGACACTTGGCCCAAAAAATATTTGTATTTTGTAACACCAGCTCGAGGATGAACATTTCCTCCAGCAGGGATGGGCTCTGTGTGGTGGCAGGGCAGGGATGGGACCAAACTGCTCCCACTGTGCCAGTAAATCCATCAGCTATGAGAAAATCATGGAATGGTTTGGGTTGGAAGGGATTTACAGCTCATCCAGTCCCACCCCTGCCATGGCAGAGACACCTTCCAAGTTTGCTCCAAGCTGGCCTTGGATACTTCCAGGGATCCAGGGGCAGCCACAGCTCCTCTGGGAATTCCATCCCAGCCCCTTCCCACCCTCCCAGGCAGGAATTCCTTCTCCATATCCCAGCTCTCCCTGCCCTCTGTCAGTTTGAAGCCATTCCCTGTGTCCTGTCATTCCATGATGTAAAGTCTCCAACTGCTCACCCCACCCCTGTGCAGAAATCCAGAGATGGGATCAGTTCTGGATGTGCTGGAAGCTCTAAAAAAGTCACCTTGGAATAAAATGAGCTTTTTTGTGCTTCCTTGTGCCCAGGTTCCTCCTTCCCACCCCGAGTGCAATTCCTGTCTGTGCATCCCAGAAGGTGCTGGGAAAAGGCTTCTCTGTGATCTCAGTGCTGCTTTTCCTCCCTCGATTTGCAGATTCCTTTAAAATGAAGGAAGAAACCAGTGATTTATAGGGAGAACTTCGTGTTTTCCAGAGCTGCAAGCGGAAAGGTTCAGGCCACGTTTCCTGTTCCTTGGGAGCCAGGAGCTCTGGACTTTTTTGTTGTCATTGCTTCTGTTTGCTTTTTGTCACCAAGCCCTCATCCCAGACTGGGCTCTTCCCACACTGCTCCCTAGGAAAAACACCCTAAAGCAGATGTAAAAGAGTTGAAATGAAATTCTGTCTCGTTCCTTTGCTGCTCTGTGACCTGGGGAGGGGGAAAGCAGCGGCTGCTCCAGGGGAGGGCTGAACCCCCCTGGCAAGAGCCGTGGTTTTCCTGCCTGCTCCTTCTGGCCTGTGGAATTGCTGTTTCTGAGCATTCCCTCTGGATCAGCCTGGCCACGTTTCCTTTCTTTCATTAGCAAGATCCTGATCTGCTGGAGAGGTGCTTGGCTTGGAATAGCCCAAAGCCACACAGGGAAAATTGAATAAAAAACCCACTGGAATTCAGTCTGCAGGATTCCCAGAGAGATGGGCAGGGAATTCATTGCCCTGGACACCCTAAAGGAGGATTTGCTTCCACCAGTGCAGCACATTTCCCTCAAACCCAACCCTGAGATTCCCATCCCCTGCAGGAGCAGGGAATAAATCACCTCCAGACAGACAAAGTAGATTTTTCCTGCTTCCACTTGTGGCCTTTCCAAGAAAAGCATTAACTGGAGCATCTGGAGCCATCTGCCTTAAATAAACGGGTGCTCAGGAGTTGTCCTGTCTCTGGGACACATGGAAACGGAAAGACTGACAGAAGGTTGTTCTGCAGCAACTCAGCACTGCTGAAAATCCCATTCAATTGAGCCGGAATTGGGAATATGAAGTGCTCCCAAATCCCAGCCCAGGAGATCTCTGCTGCTGAAGAGCCTCAGTGCCCCAGGACCTCCCTCCCTTTCCTTGTTTTCAGCTCCAGCACCCACAAATATTTTGGAAAACATGCCGGACATTATCCCAGGGTGGAAAAAAAAATGGGGATGGCATTTTATTGGATGGGAGAGGCTTGTAAAACGTTGGCAGCTGCACAGTTTTGTTTGTCAGCAGAGTTTAAAAGCTGAATTCTGCCTTGGGCTGCTTCCCTCTGTGTTATGGGTGGATGCATCGTGTTCAGCTGGTGTTACTGGGAAAGCTCCCAGTTCTGGGCTGGGAATGACCTTGGATTTGTGGTCAGGGCACTGGGATGATGACAGTGGCACCTTCTCACTGACGCCAGGGGATGCTTGTCCCACATGGTTTGTTTTGGAGAGGGAAAAGCTCATCCTGGAGCTAAACCCCCTCTCCCTGGGAATGTGAAGCTGCAGAAAAGTCCTTTCTCCTCATTCCTCCCTTTAATTTGAGAATCCCCTTCTTCCCAGAGCAGATCTTTCCCCCCTCCTCCTCCACAGCCAGGAGAAAAGCTGGGATCAGGTTTCTGCTGGCCAAAGCTGCCCCTTCCCACATCCCCCCCGTGCCACTGCCCCCAGCCCTGCCTGCCCAGCTCTGCTCCTGCACACTGCTGGGAGGTGAAATGGTTTGCAGATGGATCTTGCTCAAAAGAAAACAAGTGAGTTCATCGTTGTCCCACTGCCAGGGGTTTATTCCTGACTGTAACTCGGCCTCTGGAGCTGACAGCACAATTTATGTTCGGAAATGAAACAAATCTAAAGTTGAGTCCTGGTCTTGTTCATTCCTCACAGTGGCTTTTATATAGGAATTGCTGTAACTCCTCCTCCCAGTTCCTGCTCTGGCTGGGAAAGCAGAATTTAATGCATTTTGCTGATGGAGAGAGGAGAAATTTGGGATCAGAGAGATGGACCTGATGCCTTTTTGAATTCTATGACTTGACAAAGAAATGGCTCCAGGATCAAAGAGCTGCTCCCAACTGGACCAGTCTGCTCACCCCGGTCCAAACCCAGTCAGAGGTGCTGGGCAGCTCATCACTTCACGTTTGTAGTAGGAACCCTCCTGGTTTGTTTTCCCTGGAAAATCCAGGGTCTGAAGGGCTTTGGCAGGCCTGGCTTCCCTCCCTCCTCCCTGAGGCTGAAGGCAGCACCTTGATAACTTCAGGAATTTCCCAAGGGCTGAAATCTCTGCTCACAGCCCCCAGCAGGAGCTCCCCAGCCTCTGCTCAGTGGGATTTGGGTGAATTTTTCCTGGAGTTTGTGTGCAATGATTTGTTCTCTGCTCCCCAAGTCATGGAATCGTGGAATATCCTGAGTGCTCCTTAACCAACCCCTCAGCCCTTCCCACAGAGCTCCACTTGAGCTTTGTTTAAAGCTTTTCTGGGATGAAAATCCCTCTCTCCACATCAGTAGAAATGGTTTGAATTCCAGCTTGACCTGGAATTGGCCAAACTCTCCCAGCAGGAATGTTCATTCCCACCTCTGACCTGAGCAGCATCACCCTGGGCTCCCACTGATCCTTTTGTGTTAAAAACAAAACATCAGCAAAGCCTCGAGTTTCTGGCTGTAAAGATCAGCTGAATTCTGCTTTTTTTTTTACACAGATTCAGTCTGGGGACACGAGGTGGGGTTTTATTTCTCCCCAGCCTCCCGAGGACTGTTAATACCATCCAGATGTTGATGCCTCATGAAATTTCCAGGATGAGGTCATTGTTTGCTATTCTAAGGCATCCCCATCCCTGCTTCCCTAAGTCAGGCTGGTTCTTGTCTGCTCTGGAGTTCATGGAGCCCTCTGGACCTGTCTGTGAAGGATGAAAATGCTCCTTCAGGTCCTCCCTTCTGTCCTGAGCATGGCTGGGAAGTGGCTGCTTTGTATTGCATCCTTCCTGGGTTTATTTTTTAAATTTTAACTCTATTCCTATTTTCCCATCCCTTTTTTCTCGATTCAGGGAGTCCCTGACAGCTCTGCTGTGCCAGAGGTGGGTTCTGACAGCCACTTTTCCCCACAGGGCAGGCAGGGTGTTGTTCCCTGGGATGGATCTCAGCCCTGCCTCATCCTTTTCCAGCACCATGGGATGCAGTTGCAGCTCCCTCTCCAGCCTGGCTGGATCCATCCCCAGCCTCAGCCTAGGGAGATCGGGTTCCAGGAAGGATTAGTCAGAGCCTGGGAGCCAGGAGAGCCTGGAGAAATGCTGAGCTGGGCAGCAGAGCCCAGTGACACAGGGGAGAAAAGTCCCCTCAAACATCCGTGACCCTGCAAAATCTAAATCCTAAAGGGAACACCTGGGAAGCCTGGACCTGCTCAGTGGAGTCCCCAAAAGCCCCCTCAGGAAGGCTCTTTGCCCCCTCCAGCTGCTCCCCAGGCTCTCCATGCTGCAGAACTGCTGCCTTTTCTCCCCAAATTCCACCCCCCTTGCTGTGCCATTTATCACAGCCAATGCCTGGATCCCAGCTCTGCGTGGCAGATTCCTGGAATGAGGAGCAGCACTGGCATCACACAGAGCCACGTGGAGATCCCAGCAGGGCGTGGGCTCCCCCGAGCCATCCCTGTCTTCAACTCCTTTCTGAGGCTGACCTGACCCAGATTTCCATTCCTCTCCACTCCAGCAGCCTCCCAGTTAGGATGGAGCTGGATCCCTTCCCTTCCCAGTTTATCACACGTGCCCCTTCCTGCTCAGGAGTGCCTGGAGCAGCTCCAGGAGGTTTGGGAGCGAGAAGCAGGAGCTGCTGCCAAGCTGCTCTGCTGTGAACAGCTCGGCAGGGGAGCTGCTCGTGCTCTCGGAAATTGCTCTCAGGTTGTTAACACAGACTCACAGAGGATTTGGATTTTTCCCAATCCCAGCTGATAGCTGCTGGGCAGCAAAAGGGAAGGTTTTTCTGGGGGCTCTCCAGCCCAGTTATCTGCACAAATCCTCTTGGTCCATTTGGAATTAGCTGATCCCTGTCCTTGCCTGGGATGGGATCTGCCCTCCTGGGAATGTGTCATTTGCTGGAGCTGCACCTTTGATTCCTACTCAGACTTTTTAGTTCTTGCAGAGATTTATTTCCTTTAAAGTGGTCGGACTTGATGATCTTGGAGGTCTTTTCCAAGCTGAATGATTCCAAGTTTTTAAGTGACACCTCCACAGAGTCATTGTGTGGATGAACGGATCAGCCTCCAAATAATCCTGTCCAATCCTCACTTCATCCCAGGGCATTTTTCCTCCCAAAATTTTCCTCCCAAAATTTAGCAAAAGCCATTTGTTTACGGATCCCTAACTTTCCCCCTTCCCCTTAACTCCTTTCAGGATGTTTGCCAGCAGAAGGAAGCAGCACTACTGGGCTTACTCCATGGACTGCAGCGGGAACGAGGCTCACATTTCCAGCTGCAAACTGGGAAACCACCTGACGGGCACTGGGAAGAACAGCAGCTGTGACAACGGGATGCCCGCGGTCGTCAGCTGCGTGCCCGGCCGCGCCTTCGCCCCCAGCAGCCACAGCGGCTTCCGAAAGGCCTTCAGGCAGGAGGTGAGCGGGGAGCAGCCCCAAAATGGGCTGGAAAAGCCTTAAAAACCGTCTGATCCCACCCCCAGCCATGGCAGGTCACCTTCTGCTGGGCTTGTTCCAACCTGGCCTTGGGCGCTTCCAGGGTAAGGCAGCCACAGCTTCTGGAATTCCATCCCAGGAGCTCGCCACTGTTCCAGGGAAGAATTCCTTCCCCATATCTCATCTATCCCTTCCCTCTGGCAGTGGGAAGCCATTCCCTGGGTCCTGTCCCTCCGGGCCTTCCTGCCCAGCAGATTGCCAGAGTTCAGAGCAGCTCCTGCAGCATCTGCTGAGAGATGTGAAAACAGAATTATGGGATGGTTTGGGTTGGAAGGGACCTCAAAGTCCATCCCATTCCACCCTTGCTATGGGCAGGGACACCTTCCACTATCCCAGAGTGCTCCAAGCCCTGTCCATCCTGGGCTGGGACATTTCCCAGCCTGAGGCAACCACAGCTTCTCTGGGAATTCCATCCAGCCCCTCACCACCCTCACAGGGAGGGATTTCTTCCCAATATCCCATCCAGCTGCCAGTTAGGGCAGGAAATCCCTGGGGGTGTAACATTTTCACCACCAACTCCCACAATGTCCCCTCTGAAACTCCCACCTCCCTGCACCCCCAGCTGAGCTCCCACCCTCCCAAATTCCAGGTTCTTTCCTCCAAAGGGTGGGAGAGCAGCGCCAGGGCAGCTGGCACAGCTGGGAGAGAGGAGTGAGGAAATCCCTGGGTCACGTTCCTGTTGGAGCTGCTCGGTCTGAGCCAGCTGAACTCGTGCCCGGCTGTGCTGTTCCACAGGCTCTGGAATTCTGGTGGAATCACCCTGTGGAAATCAGCTGGCATTTCCTCTACCTCCATGTCCTCACGAGGAAATGCCCTGGGGGGAGACTGGGAAAACACAGGCAGCTTGGAAAGCTGGGTTTGTTTAGTCTAGCGAGGAGGAGAGCGCTGAGCGGGGCATAAAAGTCCCAGGAGATGCAAAAATGTTGGAAAACAAGGCTGGAATTGGTCGATGCCAGTGTCAGGGGCTAGGAGAGGACAGTTTAACAAGCAGCAAACACGGGCTAGGTGGGTGCCAGGGGAAATTTTCCAGCTGCAGCCTTGGGATAGAGGGAGAATCTCAGAGGTTTCTCATCAGAGAACTTTGTGGATTTGTGAAATTGTGAACATTTGGATTTTGTGGCTGTTCCTGGGTGAGTTTTGGGGGGGATGGTCTCCGGGCTCTTCCCAGGCGCCAAAAATGGGAATAATGACTGGTGGGAATAATGCAATCCCTGCCTGGATCCCAGGCTCTTCCCTGCACCAGAGCTTGCAGGATTTAGGGCTGGGAGGTGAAAGGTTTTGTAAATCATTGTTAATCTCCCGAGCCTCACGCGCTGCCAAGTAATTCCTTAAGCCTTTGTTTGGGCTTTGCGTGTCCTTGGTGTGACCCCAGCCTGGAGAAAAAGCTCCAGGCATGATTCCACTCGGAAAAGCGAAGGATTTTTGGTGTTCCCAAACCTAAAGCTTTGCTCTCACCACCTCGAGCCAGCTCTGGGGTGCAGCAGGAATTGGCAGCTCCCTGCTTGGCACGGGAGAGAGGAGTGGGTGATTAACAGATAATAATTAAATATTATAAACCCAGAAACGCGTGGAACCGGAGCTGCCACTCAGCTGGGTATTTCTGACTGCAAATGCCAGATTTTTTTATTCCACTTTTAATTTGTGATTTCTTTTTTCGTTATTATTTATTATATATTGTTTATATGTTTTTATTGGTCAGAACTGAGCACTCAGGCAAGTTTTATAGGGCTTGAGCTCAACGTTGGTCCTGGATTAAGCCAGGGCTGGAGGTGTGAACAGCAAATAAACCTCTTTAGGGCAGGGCAGCCAGGGGTGAGAGCTGGGCACGGGTGGGCTCAGGGCCATTCCCAACCCTCCTGCAAGGCTCCCAAGGAATGCAAGAAATTGGTTTTTTTCCATTTTTTCCAGGATGGAAAAAGGCTCCTAAATCCAAGCACCTGCAGAGAACTGGGATAGAGTTTTTTATTGTCTGCCCACACATGAGGTGTGAGAAACAAATCTGTGCTCACCAAAATCATTGCAGATAAAAATCTCCTTTCATGCAGCACTTTCAGGCATTGGAATTGTGTGATGGGTGTTTTAAGGTGTCCCAGGTAATTCTGTGATAATTTTTGGCCCAGATTTCCATAAATAACCCCTGTAAAGGACGGAAGGGACCCCAGTGTTACCTTTTTCCCAACCTGGAAAGGAAACTCGAGACAATTTCAGTAAGGGGGTCATATACAAGAGGATCTTTATTTGGAGGCCTTCAGGAGCAGTTATGGAAAGATGGCCACAAAACTCACCCCCAAAATGATGAGTACATATTTATAGGGGGTACATAATTATAAATAGTGCATATTTATAGGGTTTAGGAAATTAGCATAACTGATTAAAAGCACTAATTAAGAGGGCAAGTGGTGATGCAATTTCTCCCCTTCTCTGGAGTCTTCCCTTCAGCACTGGCTGGTTTTTGTCCATAAAAATGTGCCTCAAGGAGTTGTTCTGGGCCTTGGTTCCCAGGAAAAACCAAGACAGAACCGGGGCCCTGCACTCCCAGGGCCTGGAGCTCTGGAATTTGTTTTGTCTTTCTGCCTAGGGAAGGGCCATGGAAAAGTACTGGGGAAAGTAACTACTAATACAATAGGCAACAGAGCTCCAAATAGATGTGGGAAGAATACAGAGAGCAGATCAAAGGGGGAAAAGTGTGAAAAAGGCGGTTTGCTTTCTTGGTAAAATTTTAAAAGTTTAATAAAAAGACAGTAGGAGGCAGAAATAAAGAAACGGGTTAAAAACCGTTGGATGTTTGATATTTGGTTGCTGTTATCTTTGGAGATAATTTTAAAATATTTTTAAAATTATATTAGCTTATTGTAGCTTGAGGCTGTGTCCTCTGTGTCCTGGAGAAAGAGCCCAGCCCCAGCTGAGCACAGCCACCTTTCAGGGAGTTGTAGAGATAGTAGTCGAAATAAAAGTAAAGTTATTTTAACATTATACATATAGAATTCATGCATATAGAATTCATGGTAATATTTGCAAAAAGCCAACAATATAATATGTAAGCCCTGTGAGGAACACCTGAGGGAGCTGGGGGTGCTCAGCCTGGAGAAAAGGAGACTCAGGGGTGCCCTCACCACTCTCTGCAGCTCCTGAAAGGTGCCTGTGCTCAGCTGGGGCTGGGCTCTTTCTCCAGGAGCTGACAGAAGCAGAGGACACAGCCTCAAGCTGCACCAAGGGAAATCTAGTGTGAGTTCTGTTTCCTTCTTCTACTTTCATTGAGGTTGGCATTGAAGTATTTGAGATGATAGTTTGCATTTAGACTTAGGTGTTTATTGTTTTTTATCAATGTTGCAGTCTCACAGCAGTGAGTCTTTCATTAGCAAGGCACAAAATGGTTAACTATCTCTTGGTACCAGGTCTTTTGAGGTTAAATTATCCAAATAAGAAATTATACCTAAATTATTTTCACTTTTAATCCAATAACTGATCCCTCAAAGCCTGCTCTGTGGACTTTTCTGTTCAATTACAAATACCACCCAAATTCATGGAGAAGAAGGAAGAAGAAGGCAAAGAAGAGCAACCTGCCTCTGCCCTAAAACCTCCATCTTTCTCCATATTTATTACTATCTTCTAAAACCCCAAACTCTAAGTTTTCCACCCTGTGATATCACACACTTCTAACAACTCCACACCCATAATCTCAGTGCTATCAATGCCATTTTGGAAACCTTCTCCACAGCCTCAGGTCAAATGTAGTGTCCTCTTGTGGGCCTGTGCCTTTCAGCACAGAAAGTTTAAAAATTCTCATTATCCAGGGTTTTAACATCATAGGTTGGATATTAGGAAAAGTTTGTTACAGAAAGAGTGATGAAGTTCTGGAATGTTCTGCCCAGGGTGGTGCAGTCACCATCCCTGGGGGTGTTTATCAAAGCCTGGATGTGGCACTGGGTGTCAGGGTTGTGTTGAGCTGTTGGAGCTGGGTTGGACTCCATGATCTTGGAGGTCTCTTCCAACCCAATCACTCTGTAATTCTGTGAATTCTGCATTTATAACAAAGTCAAAACCCGCCGGGCATCACCACCCCTGTGTCTGACCCCTGCAGCAGCCCCTGGTGAGGCTGAAGGGAGGAGCCAACACGGGGGAAGGCCGCGTGGAGGTGCTGAAGAACGGCGAGTGGGGCACGGTGTGCGACGACAACTGGAACCTGGTGTCGGCCAGCGTGGTGTGCCGCGAGCTGGGCTTTGGCAGCGCCAAGGAGGCCATCACGGGGGCCAGGCTGGGCCAAGGTGAGCTCCACCACGGCCCAGGGAGCCCTGGGCTCGGGAAACTCATCCACAGACACCAAATTCGTCCCCAAGCACCAGGGGTTTATGTCCAGAAAGGAGACAGAGGAGTCCTGGAACTTCATTCAAATAAAGGGAGAGGCCATTGGGTCTCTCAAAGTTTTGGAGGATGCAGCCTCCTTTTTATCCTAATTTCCCTCCTTTTATCCTAATTTCCCTCTCTCATTCCCCACTGGCTGAGGTACTTGAGAGGTTCAGACTTCACCTAACACAGACCCCTCCTAACGTATCCCCCTTTGTCTTTTCCTCGTGTCCGTCAGTGGAATTCCTGTGGAATTTGTGGTTCCTCCCATTGTTCCTTTCATCTCTCAGTATCCAATTTTATTTATCAGCAGACCCACAGTTTGTTTGCAAAGACAAATCCCTCATTGCTTTCACTGGTGCCCTGAATTAAGGAATGTTCCACCCCCAGGAACATCCCACAATCCAGGGCACGGTGGATTTTTGTTGGGATGTTCAATTTGAGGACCAGGAATTTCTCCCCTAACCTTAATAAGTCTCTTGGGACAGACTGGAATTCTGTGACTTAAAAAGATTCCCTGAAAAAACACCTGGGGATGATGAGTTTGACCTTTTGCTCGGGCAGCTGTTCCTGAGCAAAAGGTCAAACTCAGCACCCCAGTAATTAATTCTTAACAACTCGTCATTGTTCCAGTAATTAATTCTTAATTATCTCATCTGCTGCTCTGAAATTCCCTTTGAGTTCTCCTGAACCACACCATGATGTAATGCATTACTAGAAGGTTCCTGGCAAAAAAATAAGTCCAGCAGTCAGACTTCAAACGCTCCAATTTAAGAGCAGGACAGTAATTTAGCTCATTATAAATAGAAGGGCATTTGAGCAGCTCAGAGCCAGATTTGGGTTTGGATTTCCTGTCTTTGGGAGTTGGTTTAAATCCCAAAAAAGTGGTCAAAGGTGAATTGAAACCACCTGGTGATTCCCACACCCCGTTCCCAGGGTGGAAATCCAAAAAACAACAACAAAAAAAAGACAGCAAACCCTTGTTGTGAGAATAAAAAATTTTAAAATTAAAAAATGTAAACGAAATCTTTGTTGTGAAAATAACCAAAAAAAACCCCCAAAAAACAGAAGACACCATGAATTTGTGTGAATAACCAAAAAAAGACACCAAGTCCTTGTTGTGACAATAACAAAAAAAAAAAGACGCCAACCCCTTGGGAGAATAATTTTTAAAAAATGACATCAAACCCTTGTTATGACAGTAGCAAAAAAAAAAAAAAAATTACACCAAGCCCTTGTGAGAATAACCACAAAAAAATTACACCAAATCTTTGTTGTGAGAATAAAGGAATGGGGGAAATTTTGAGAATAAAGGAATGGGGGAAATTTTGAGAATAGAGGAATGGGGGAAGTTCCTTCAGCTTAGAGAAGGGGAGAGAAGGAAAGAACACGTGGGTGTCCTGAGTCTGGGAAGCTTTAAAACTTGACCAAATCCACTGGATTTGCCAAAAATCCTCTTTGTGGCAGGCTGGAATTTGCTGATGTGTTTAAGGGCATGTAGGAAACAGCTTCATCATCCCAGGGCTGCCACGTGAGGGAGGAGAACGTGGAACATGCTGTTCCTGCTGGCTCCAGGAATCTCCTCTGCCTTCCCTTTCCTTTTCTTTCCCCTTTCCCTTCTGCTCATCCGTCAGTGCTCCCTGTCAGGAGCATCCCTAGGGATGGGTGATGTCCCTCCAGCAGCCAGGGGGTCACGTTTGGGTTGGAAAAGGAGATTTTTCTGGCCCTGCATGCTCAGGGAGCTGTCCAAGCTCTCCACGCCGTGTCCCTGTTTACACTTTGTTCTGTTCCAGCTGCTTCCCAGGGAATTTGGGTTTTCTCAGGGTGCTCTGAAGGAGCAGCCTCACCGTGGGTGTGGGAGGATGGATTTCACAGGCTAAATCAGCTCCCAGTGGCTGAACTGGGAGTCCCAGTTCACAGAGTTCACAGAATTCCCAGAATCACTGGGTTGGAAGAGACCTTGAAGATCATGGAATCCAGCCCCAGCACCTCCACTCAACCCTGGCACCCAGTGCCACATCCAGGTTTTTTTAAACACACCCAGGGATGGTGACTCCACCACCTCCCCAGGCAGAACATTCCAGAACTTCATCACTTTTTCCATAAAAACTGTTTCCTAATATCCAACCTAAACTTCCTTTGGTGCAGCTTGAGGCTGTGTCCTCTGGAGAAAGAGAAAGTTAAGACAAAGTGGGAGAGCTGTGCCTTCCACAGAGCTCAGGGTGTGGGAGAAGGATTTATCCCTCCTTGCCTGGACCCAGATTAAACAATTCACCCTCATTTCCACAAGGGGAGGAGACACTGAGCCCAGAGCTCACGGATGTGTGGCTGTCCTGGGAGGGAGAGCATGGAATTAAACTCCAAGGAGTAGCTGAAGGCCAGTGTTGGATAGACAGGCCTAGTCCTGGGGGTTTTTAAGTGCAATGGCAGGGAGGAAATACAATTTTCCTCACATTTCAACATTTATCTCCATTTCTGTGCCCCCACGTGCCATAATTTCCCCAGGAAGAGCAGCCCTGCCAGGGTTCTCTGGCTCAGAGAGGCCCTGCCCTTGTCATTTGTCATTTTTGTCATCTTTGTCATCCTTGCCGTCCCACTGGAATGGCTTTGCCAGGCTGGGAATGTTGGCCTGGCTCCCTCCTGCATTCCTGTACCTTCCCCCTCCAGTTCTGGTCAGGGCTTTCCTCCCCCTCAGCCCTTTGGTGGCTGCAGAAGGACAGGGAGGTGCTGCCAGCTCCAGATGGGAACCACAATGGGATTTTAATGAGAGAGAGGCAAAAAAAGGACAAGATTCCCATTCCCAGCAGCCTCCCCAGGAATGTCCTCCCGCCCTGTCCAGGTGGACACAGGCCTGGCCAAGCTGCCCAAACCCCATTAAAAACTGTGGCTGAAATTAAACCCGGCACATTCACATCTCTGCCTAGTTCTTTCCAACCAGTTTCGGAAGCAGGAGCTGAGTTTTGCACAAGGATCATTCCCTTCCATGCTTTTCTGATGGAAATTCCAATTTGCTGCTGCTGCTCATCCTGGAAGGACCCAAATTATTCCATTTTTCTGCCAGCACCTCGAGCCCATTCTCTCTGCTGTTTCCCTCAGTGCTGGAATCCTCGGCCTGCCCCAGATTTCTTTTCCTGACTCCTCATCCTCCCTGTGGATGTTTTATTCACAGCCAACGTGTCCATGTCCCAGTTCTGTGTCAGGAATGTCAGGCCTTGACTGGAAGCAGATTCCAGCACAAAGACACGGCCAAAACATCATAATTTGAGAATCCCTACAGCTCAAGTTTGAAAATTATGAAACAGTGGAAACTTGGTTTTTCCTGGGATTCTTGCATGCTCAAGTCGCAGAGAATACTGGAAAAAATTCAGTAATTGTTAAAATTATTAACAATATTTTCACAGATTTTTGTTTTATTTTTACAAAAAATCAGCAGATTTTTTTCCCAAGTTTTGAATGCTGGAAGTCTCTGTGATGTTCACAACCTCACCACAAAAAAGGACTTTTTTTCCCTATTTTTCCCCCAAGGAATGGGTCCCATCCACCTGAACGAGATCGACTGCACGGGCTTTGAGAAGTCGGTCACGGACTGCAAGTTCAACACCGAGTCCCAGGGCTGCAACCATGAGGAAGATGCTGCTGTGAGGTGCAACGTGCCAGCCATGGGCTTCCAGAACCAGGTGAGGAGCTGAGGGATCCAGGCGTGAGGGAATTTTGGGCGGGAATTGGGTAGGAATCATTTCACCCAAGCCGTGAGTATTTAATTCAGATTTTATCTAAAAAAGGAGGGGAAATGAGGATGAGTGTCCCATTTTGTGGGGGGTTTGAGCTCCTCTGGACTCATCCCAGAGGCCTGAAAATGAGGAAAGTCAGGTTGGATGAGACTTGGAGCAACGTGGGATGGTGGAAGGTCCCTGCCCATGGGAGGGGTTGGCACTGGATGACTTTTTACCCAATTTTCAACCTTTTCCAACCCAACCATTGTGTGCTAACTGCATGAACCAGACCCAGATTCCTCTGAGTGCTCCTTCCAAAGGTCTAAAGCAGCAGGGCAGGGAAGCTTTTCCAGGGAATTCCTGCAGCTGGTCCAACCCATTGAGCTGCTGGGCTTGGCTGGACCATCCCCTGCCAGACTGGGAGAGGGGCTGAACTCCCTGAGCTCAAGCCCTGAGGAGACTCCGAGTGCTGCTCCATCCCTGGATGGTTTCCCTGTGCCTTCCCCTTGGGGAGCCCCTCCTGACCCCACACAAAATGGGACACGGTGCTGCACAGCCCGAGTGCCCTGAGTCATTTTCCCTATGACAGATCTGGGGATGTGCTCATCTTTTCCTGACTCCTCATCCTGTGTCTCCTCATCCTCCCTGTGGATGTTTTATTCACAGCCAACGTGTCCATGTCCCAGTTCTGTGTCAGGAATGTCAGGCCTTGCCTGGAAGCAGATTCCAGCACAAAGACCCAGCCAAAAGGTCATAATTTGTGAATCCCTCCAGCTCAATCCCCGCAGCTCTCCTTTTTGCCAGTCAGAATTCCCTCTGTGGGAGGGAAATCCCTCACCAGGGTTTCTCCAGCTCTGTGCTAGAGGGGGAATTTTCCGCTGTGCAGCCCCTGGGTCACTTCCAGCTGGGGATATCTGATGATTCCAAAATTTTGGGGGAACAAAACCTTCTTCCCCACCCGTTGCCCTTCCCCTTGTGAGCCTGCTGTGGATTTAGGGGTTCTGTGTCCTGCAGCTTCGCCTGAGCGGGGGCCGCAACCCCTACGAGGGCCGCGTGGAGGTGCTGGCCGAGCGCAACGGCACCCTGCGCTGGGGCACGGTCTGCAGCCACAACTGGGGCACCGTGGAGGCCATGGTGGTGTGCCGGCAGCTGGGGCTGGGCTTTGCCAGCCACGCCTTCCAGGTGAGCCCCTTCCCACCCCTGCCAGGCCTTCCCATCGGGGTGGGTGGCGCGGGGGTGCTGGAGGAGGTGGAAAGGTCATCCCAAAAGGAGCTTCAAGGGTGGAGCTGGAAAGGCCTTGAGGGTGAAATCTCGTTGTACAATGGCCATGGAGGGGGGGAGTTGGAGCAGGAGGAGCTGTGGATGATGAGAAATGAGGGAACTTCATCAGGAACTGGAATGATGGGATAAGGGGATGGCTTCCTACTGCCAGAGGGCAGGGTTGGATGGGAAAATGGGAATAAATTCTGCCCTGGGGCTGTGGTGAGGTCCTGGGATGGAATTCCCAGAGGAGCTGCGGTTGTCCCATCCCATCCCTCCATCTTGGAGCAACCTGGATAGCGGAAGGTGTCCCTGCCCGGGTAGGACTGAATGAGTTTTAACGATTTGGTGACAAACATTCTGTTTCCCTGAGTTCTCTGTTGTTTTCTCACAGCTCGGGTTTCCCGACATTCCCCAACCCCTGCTTGGGCTGGTGGCTGCATGCAGGTTCTTGTCCCTCCCTGAAACGCAGAGGTCAGGTTCAGACTGGTGTCAGGTCTCCTGAAAAAATTGGATTTTGCTTCTAGAGTTGCTCCAGTGCAGCCTGAGCAGCAGGGCTGGATCCAGCTCCATGAATTGTTGGTATTCCCTGCTCCTCTCCTACCCCAAACCTCCTCCATGGCCAGGAATGACACCTCAGTTCTGCCCCACCCTGGGAGTGCCCAAGGCCGGGCTGGACCGGGCTTGGAGCAAGCTGGGCTGGTGGAAAGTGTCCCTGCCCATGGGATGAGCAATCCAAACCATTCCATGACCTCTGCCACCCTGCGCTCATGGACACATCCCAACCATTCTCCATGGCCAGGGAGGGATCTGCAGGTCCTCAGGGGACACTCAGGGCTTGGACACCCAGCAGGAAGGAGGCTGGAGCTGCCCACGTGCTGCTGGAGCCATTCCCTGCTCCAACTGCTTCCTCCAGCTGATTTCCCCCCATCAAACCCCGGAGCTGAGGATCTCCCCACCCCTGAGCGTGGCCTTTCCGACTGCCTGGCAATGTTGACACAGCCCTGAGAGTCCAGCGAGGAAAAGGCATTTTTTCCCTGAGCTGAGGCTGCTGGAATTCGGAACAGAAAAGGCTTTTACAGTGCCCCTGCTCCAGGAGCATAAAGCCCCAGTGTGCAGAACAGGGCAGCCCTGTGTGCTCCCAGCCTTCCCAAACAGCCGGGGGCAACGGGAGCCATGGGACACCGGGGGGTTCAGTTCCTGGAAACTGCTCCCAGCTTGGGCACGGACAGATCTCACTGGATTTTTTTAGGTTCTTTCTCTCCTCCCCTTCTCCCAGGTTTTGGGGTTTGGGAGTTGACGTTGTGTCATTCCCATAAGTTTTGCAAAACTGGAGGATGATGAGAGGAGAGGAAATTTCATCAGGAACTGGAATGATGGGACAAGGGGGAATGGCTTCCCACTGCCAGAGGACAGAGTTAGATGGGATACTGGGAATGAATTCTTCCCTGGAACAGTGGTGAGGTCCTGGCATGGAATTCCCAGAGAAGCTATTGCTGCCCCTGGATCCCTGGAAGTGTCTAAGACCAGATTTAAACAACCTGGGATAGTGGAAGGTGCCCCTCTCCATGGCATGGGGTGGGAATGGATGGGATTCAAGGTTTTTAAGGATTTGGTGACAAAACTTCAGCTTCTCTGAGTCCCCTGCTCCAGCATCCTTTGGCAAGATCCTTCTGGATAATGTGGGGTCCTGCCCTGAGGGAGAATCCACACTTCAGGCCGGTAAATATTCCCCTAAGAGCCCAAGGAATGTGTGAAATGCCTTTCCCTGCCTTTTTTTTTTTGCCCAGGAGACGTGGTACTGGCACGGGGACGTCAGCGCCGACGACGTGGTGATGAGCGGGGTCAAGTGCTCGGGGACAGAGATGTCCCTGTCCCACTGCCGGCACGACGGGGCCCACGTGTCCTGCCCCCGGGGAGGGGGACGCTTCGGGGCCGGCGTGTCCTGCTCGGAGAGTGAGTGCCTCGGGATTTGTTTGTTCTTGGAGGAATGGCATGACCTGGATGCGTCAAACAGCGCTAAATTCTAACTCCCAGAGAGGTTCTGGCTGTGGCTGCTCCATCCCTGGAAGTGTCCAAGGCCAGCTTGGAGTGAGCTGGGATTGTGGAAGGTGTCCTTGCCCATGGGGGGATGGGATGGGATGGGATGGGATGGGATGGGATGGGATGGGATGGGATGGGATTTAAGGTCAGCTATTCCCATATGGTGAATGGTTCCCTCTCCAGGCTTTTCCTACTCAAACTCAAAGCAGGATTAATTTGGATATTCAGGAGAAATTGTTCTTTTTGAGAGTGGTGAGGGAACTTAATCAGGAACTGGAATGATGGGATAAGGGGGAATGACTTCCTAGTGCCAGAGGGCAGGGTTGGATGGAATACTGGGAATAAATTCTGCCCTGGGGCTGTGGTGGGGTCCTGGGATGGAATTCCCAGAGGAGCTGTGGCTGCTCCTGGAAGTGTCCAAGGCCAGCTTGGAGCAACCTGGGATAGCAGATGCCCCTGCCCATGGCAGGGGGTGGAATGGGATGGGATTTAAGGTCCATATTCCTGTAGGGTGAATTGTTCCCCACCAGGCTTTTCCTGCTCAAACTCAGAGTAGGATTAGATTGGATATTCAGGAGAAGTCCTTCCCTGGGAGGGTGGGGAGGGACTGGAATGGATTCTCTATTGAAGCTGTGGCTGCCCCCTCCCTGGAAATGTCCAAGGCCAGGCTGGACAGGGCTTGGAGCAACCTGGGACAGTGGGAGGTGTTGGGGCTGGAAGTGGCTGATCCTTAAAACCCCTCCCCAGCCACACCATCCCATGGCCCTCTGGTCGACATCCCGTGTCATGTCATTCCATGGCCCTCTGATTGACATCCCGTGTCATGTCATTCCATGGCCCTCTGATTGACATCCCATGTCATGTCATTCCATGACCCTCTGATTGGCACTGAGTGAGTCTGAGGAGCTCGGTGGCAGGACCCCTGCACCTCCAGCACCTCTGGGGTGATTTTATTTCACTGAAACCACTCATTCCTCTCCAGCCGCCCCTGACCTGGTGCTGAACGCGGAGCTGGTGGAGCAGACGGCCTACCTGGAGGACAGGCCCATGTTCCTGCTGCAGTGTGCCCTGGAGGAGAACTGCCTGGCCAGCTCGGCCCACAACACCTCGCTGACCTCGGGCTACCGGCGCCTGCTGCGCTTCTCCTCGCAGATCCACAACAACGGCCAGTCCGACTTCCGGCCCAAGAACGGCCGCCACGCCTGGGTGTGGCACGACTGCCACCGGTGGGTGCCATCCCTGGGCTCACTGCCACCCGCCAGCCCCTCCCACAGCCACAGGGAACTTCTGTCCCCATTTTGTCCCCGTTTTGTCCCAGTTGTGTCCCGGTTTTGTCCCAATTTTGTCCCGGTTTTGTCGTGGTTTTGTCCCGGTTTTGTCCCAGTTGTGTCCTGGTTTTGTCCTGGTTTTGTCCCAATTTTGTCCTGGTTTTGTCCCAGTTTTGTCCCGGTTTTGTCCCAGTTGTGTCCCGGTTTTGTCATGGTTTTGTCCCAGTTTTGTCCCAATTTTGTTCCAGTTGTGTCCTGGTTTTGTCCCGGTTTTGTCCCAGTTGTGTCCCAGCTGTGTCCCGGTTTTGTCATGGTTTTGTCCCAATTTTGTCCCAGTTGTGTCCCGGTTGTGTCCTGGTTTTGTCCCGGTTTTGTCCCAGTTGTGTCCCAGCTGTGTCCCGGTTTTGTCATGGTTTTGTCCCAGTTTTGTCCCAATTTTGTTCCAGTTGTGTCCTGGTTTTGTCCCGGTTTTGTCCCAGTTGTGTCCCAGCTGTGTCCCGGTTTTGTCATGGTTTTGTCCCAGTTTACCCCTCAGTTTGGTGGTTGGAAGCAACATTCCCTGGGTTTTGGGAATTCTCTCTCCACTCGGTTCTCTCCTCGCTCAGTTCTTAGGCCGTTGGGAATTGGGCGCGGCCTGTGCGTCGCTCTGAGCTGAGCTCTGCAGACGGGCCCTGCTGGGTCTCACTGCAGGGCTCCAGGGCTGGGATAGGCACTCCCAGCTGCCACTCGTGGGGTTTTTGGAGGAATTCGGGGCAGGCCTCCAGTCTGTGCCCGTGGGTGGAGTGGGGGGAATTGTCTGGGTCCAAAAACAGCCACTGGCACTGGGGAGGAGGGAAAGGAGAGGAATTGTTTCTGTCTGAGCTGTGTGAAATGGGGAGTGGGGGTTGGAGGGAGATTTTGGGGTGTGGGGGAAGGTGTGGTTGTGGTGAGTTACAGATGGAGCAGCTCTGCTGGGAGGAAAGGCTGAGGGAACTGGGAATGCTCACCTGGAGAGGAGAAGGCTCCAGGCAGAGCTCAGAGCTGGAGGGGCTCCAGGAGAGCTGGAGAGGGACTGGGGACAAGGGATGGAGGGACAGCACACAGGGAATGGCTCCCACTGGGAAAGGGGAGATTTGGGTGGGGTATTGGGGAAGGAATGAGGGGGGGGAGGGGCTGGGATGGAATTCCCAGAGGAGCTGTGGCTGCCCCTGGATCCCTGGAATTGTCCAAGGCCAGCTTGGAGCCCTGGGACAGTGGGAGGTGTCCCTGCCATGGCAGTTTTGTCGTGGCTTTGTCCCAGTTTTGTCCCAGTTGTGTCCCGGTTTTGTCATGGTTTTGTCCCAGTTTACCCCTCAGTTTGGTGGTTGGAAGCAACATTCCCTGGGTTTTGGGAATTCTCTCTCCACTCGGTTCTCTCCTCGCTCAGTTCTTAGGCCGTTGGGAATTGGGCGCGGCCTGTGCGTCGCTCTGAGCTGAGCTCTGCAGACGGGCCCTGCTGGGTCTCACTGCAGGGCTCCAGGGCTGGGATAGGCACTCCCAGCTGCCACTCGTGGGGTTTTTGGAGGAATTCGGGGCAGGCCTCCAGTCTGTGCCCGTGGGTGGAGTGGGGGGAATTGTCTGGGTCCAAAAACAGCCACTGGCACTGGGGAGGAGGGAAAGGAGAGGAATTGTTTCTGTCTGAGCTGTGTGAAATGGGGAGTGGGGGTTGGAGGGAGATTTTGGGGTGTGGGGGAAGGTGTGGTTGTGGTGAATTACAGATGGAGCAGCTCTGCTGGGAGGAAAGGCTGAGGGAACTGGGAATGCTCACCTGGAGAGGAGAAGGCTCCAGGCAGAGCTCAGAGCTGGAGGGGCTCCAGGAGAGCTGGAGAGGGACTGGGGACAAGGGATGGAGGGACAGGACACAGGGAATGGCTCCCACTGGGAAAGGGGAGATTTGGGTGGGATATTGGGGAAGGAATGAGGGTGGGGAGGGGCTGGGATGGAATTCCCAGAGGAGCTGGAGCTGCCCCTGGATCCCTGGAATTGTCCAAGGCCAGCTTGGAGCACCCTGGGACAGTGGGAGGTGTCCCTGCCATGGCAGGGGTGGCACTGGATGGGATTTAAATCCCTTCCAACCCAAAATCATTCCATGATTTTCTGACACCTGGGAGCTGAGTTTGCACAGACAGGATGTGAGAATTCTGCACTCACCACGTGCAGATTACCTGAGCAGTTTCTCACCTGAAAAAGGACAAAAAATGGTGGAATTCTGCCTTTTTTATGCATCTCAACCCCACTAAAACTGTCAGCAGCTGTGAGGTGGTTTTCAGCTTATTTTTGAAAAAAGTCATCCCATAAATACATCATTTTTTGAGGAATTAAGACACTTTTGGGTAAGTTGGGGGGGGAAAGGGAGCTGGAGGCCGTCCAGATGCTTTGCTGTGAAATGTGTACTGGTACAAGGTGGATTTTTCCCTAATTTGAGGTAAAAAGCAGTGAAATAACTCCATGCACAGCTCCTGTCCTGTTTAAAAAACTGAGGAAACACCAGAGTGGTAAATTTTAAATTGTAGAATTTAAAATAATCTTTAATAATTTTTTAACCAAAGAATTTTTATAATCTTCCCAAAGAGCTGAGATGTGCAGGTAGCACTGAAAAAGGGGGAACTTGGAGCAATTTTGGACACGGTGGGAGGGAGGTGGGATGGGAAAGGGTGAGCAAGAGGCCAGGAGCCATCTGTGCTCCAGACTGGAACCACTTGAGAGGGACAGGGATGAACTCAATCCCTCTTCAGTCTTTCCAGTCTGTGAACAGCAGAGTGTAAACAGCCCAGGGAGTGACTCAGGCATAGCTCAGAAACTGAGTCAGGCTTGAGGAGCTCAGACTCGCAGCAAATTCATTGATTTGAGCCAAATCTGCCTCAAATCAGCCCGGCCTCAGCCTTGGGCCTCAGCTTTGCCTCCTGCCCTGGCAGCTCCTGTTTGGATGTGGAATATTATATTTCTTTTTCTTGAGCCAGGTCTCAAAAGCTCTCAAAAGAAATATAATACACCCAAGGATTGCTCAGCTATTATTTTGGGGGTATAAAATAAGCAGGATGGCTTCTGCTGTAGTGTTAGAAACAAAAAGGTTCAGTAAAAGGCAAAATAACAAACAGAAAAACCCCAGCCAGGTGCAGAGGTCTGTTCCTGGTAAAAACACCTCACAAAAGCTCTTTGCTCTTTTGTTCTCTTCTTTTTCTACCTGGTTGAGGTGGAACTTTTTGGCTTCTATCCAATTAGCTGTCCTCAAGTTTTTGGTGAAGTCCTATGAGGTGGCTTTTCACCAAATTGTTGAGAGAAACTTCTGGGCTTCTTTCCCTTTTTGGGGGACAAAGGCCAGCTTTGCCACTCTGTCATTAGGGACACACTCCTACACCAGAAACAGAATAAAAACGGGAAAGACCCCAAGCAGGGAGTGAAAAATTATTTCATTCTGGCAGAGGGCAATTTCTGGATTGTTATTTTTTTTTAGTGAGGGGAAACACAGGAAAAATTTCCTCCCCTTCCCTCTTGGCTCATGCCTCACCTGTAAATCCATGAGCAGTGGTGGTGATTGGAAGTGGTTAAGCCTTGATTATTTTTACAGCTGGAAAGGAGTGGATTTATGCCTGTTTTACTTTCTTTTTTTTTCTTTTTTTTTTTTTTTTTTTTCCTTCTTTTTTTTTTTTTTTTTTTTTTTTTTTTTTTTTTTTTTTTTTTTTTGTTATCCTTATTTATGCATTTATAAAGCGGGGCCCCTCTCTCCCCCCCCCCCCCTCCCCCCCCCCCCCTTTTTTTTTTTTTTCTTTTTTTTATTTTTTTTTTTTTTTTTTTTTTTTTTTTTTTTTTTTTTTTTTTTTTTTTTTTTTTTTAATCTTAAGTAACTGGGTCTGAATTAGGCCCTGTCTGGGCCTCACTCTGAGCTGAGCTTTGCAGATGGGCCCTGCTGGGTCTCTGTGCAGGGTTCCAGGGCATTCCCAATCCTGGGATAGGCATTCCCAAAGCTGGGATTCCCTTCCCAAAGCTGGGATAGGCATTCCCAAAGCTGGGATAGGCATTCCCAAAGCTGGGATAGGCATTCCCAAAGCTGGGATTCCCTTCCCAAAGCTGGGATAGGCATTCCCAAAGCTGGGATAGGCATTCCCAAAGCTGGGATTCCCTTCCCAAAGCTGGGATAGGCATTCCCAAAGCTGGGATAGGCATTCCCAAAGCTGGGATTCCCTTCCCAAAGCTGGGATAGGCATTCCCAAAGCTGGGATACCATTCCCAAAGCTGGGATACCCATTCCCAAAGCTGGGATACACATCCCCAAAGCTGGGATACCATTCCCAAAGCTGGGATACCCATTCCCAAAGCTGGGATACCATTCCCAAAGCTGGGATACCCATTCCCAAAGCTGGGATACCATTCCCAAAGCTGGGATACCCATTCCCAAAGCTGGGATACCATTCCCAAAGCTGGGATACCCATTCCCAAAGCTGGGATACCATTCCCAAAGCTGGGATACCCATTCCCAAAGCTGGGATACCATTCCCAAAGCTGGGATACCCATTCCCAAAGCTGGGATACCATTCCCAAAGCTGGGATACCCTTCCCAAAGCTGGGGTGACACAGAGTGGTTCCAGGTCCCACTCCCGTTGTCTCCCTGCTCCCTCACGCCCTGGATTTGCTCCCGATTCCGAGGCTGGGCTCAAATCCAAGGTGTTGCATCAGCATCCCCCCACTGCTGTGCCCAGCCCTGACCACGTGGAGTCCTGCTGGGCCAAAGCTCAGCTTAATTCTCTGCTGAGCCAGCAGTGGGGCTTAAAAAACCCAGTGTCCCCCGAGTCCAGCGTCACCCAAACCCTGCTGGGCTCTGCCTGCTCACCAGGGACTCCAGGCTCTCTCCTGACTTCTGCTGTGCCCAGCAGTGCTGGAATGTTCCCCAGGCCCGGCTGACACATCCCAGTTTAAAAGCAGGAAGTGTCTCCCGGGTGAAAATCCAGCTCTGAGCAGGGTGAAAGAAGCTGCTCCAGCTGCTGGTTTTTGCTGATAAAAATTCACATTCTGCTGCTTTAAAAATGAATCAGTAAAAGCAGCCAGGCCTGGGCACAGCCAGCTCTGTGTGGAATATTCCTGGGAAATGACGGGGCTGCTCCAAGGGATGGTTTCTTTGTGGATTTTTTGCCCTTCCTGC